GCGACAGCGGACATGGTGGCAGTAGTTGGTGTAAGAGCTGGTGATTGTGACAATGATGGTGTCTAACATGGTAGCATCAATTGTGAGGTGGTGGAAGTGGTCAAGGGAAGGACAATTAAAAAAAATGATGATAGTTTCTTGAACTAGTCAAATAGTTTGATCAAATTCAGTCTTAAATTTCAGTACATTTTAAACAATCTTCAGATTAAAATTTTGGCATTCACATTAAAAAATAAATTCGGTGCTTAATTCTCAGCTTTATCAAAAAAACCAAAGCATACAAAATTATAACAAAATTCAATAATTGGATGTCTTAAAAAAAAACAGAAATTCAGAACCGTTTACAGTGACCCAGAAATGAACCCAAACCATGTAATGATCGATTGCAAAAGTCCAACCTTTCAAAGCAATCCAAACAACATTCACATTCAACCATCAAAAACCTAACCTTACAACAACAATCAATTGAAAGAATTCAGATCCAAAAATCAATTACAATAATTCAGATACAAAAATCAATAACAAGAATTCAAATACACAAATCAATTACAAGAATTCAGACTTGATGATGGAAAGAAAAACAAATCTAATTTCCATTCATCCAACACCTAACCCTACATAGAAAACAATCACAACAAAATCCAAACTTTGAAGAAATCCAAACAATATAAAACCCATTCCACATCATCCAAAAGACAACCCTACTAATAGATAACCATTTCCTAAAATCCAGACCATGGTTACCATAATTCACTCAACCACTGACGATCCACGATTTGGGTACACCGATCTCAAATGGGTTGTGTTCGCAATCCAGATCACAAAAATGAACGACCCCAATTTATAATACTACCCCTAAATCAATTCGCTTTAGAACATATAGCACAAATATAAAATATATATTAATTGACTACATGTATATAGATTTATAATTATATATTTTTTTAGTTAATAGAAAATCAAGCACAACTATAAGATAAATAGTAATTGACTTAGTATTTATGAATATTCTGTGATATATAATGTTGTATAGTAGTGAAAACGATCTACATAAGAGTTCTAAAACGAATTGCAATCTAAAATACTATATCATCTATGCCTACTCACATCGTATCGCGTACCTAAGAAGTGTCGTACCATGTACCCGTACCCGTACCACGTACCAAAGTGACCATGATTCAAGGAACATTGATCCAAACAAGAAAAAAGCAATTAAAGCATAACCATTTTAAAATATCCAAAACCAAACAAAACCCGAGGCAACAAAATTTGCATCAGAGGAGAAAATCAAGCATTCTATACAATTGATTGGCTCATCAGTAGCAAGGATCATGCAGCAGTGAATGGATAGCAGAATTGTAGGAGGCAATAAATGAGTAAAGTAATGGTAGACATTTGGAGTGAATTGCATGTAGTTAGGAGCAGACAATCCTCTGCTGTCAGCATTTATTGGGCTCTTTGGGAGAAGAAGGGCATCACAAAATTTGACTCTCTTGAATTGTATCAACAAAGGGTTCTCCCCCAAAAGAGGGAATTTGCTTAAACGTTGTATTCTTCTTCTTGGTCTTATCAGTGGTATCAGCACTGTTCCTGCCCTTTATCAACAATAATGGCGGAAGGGACTAGGACGCAAGAGGTAAAGCGCATGGAGGAGAGTATCCACTTTCTGAAGGAAAACTCTGACCGTCAAGCTGCGGACATGAAGGACCTAAAACAGCTAGTTATTGTCATGAATATCTGGCATGAATAGCTTGCTACCCAACTTCTGCTAACTTATGCGTCAGGGAACTTATCCGTTGTCTCTGTGACTCAATCTGGAAGGTGGCAGAATTCTGCCCGTGAAGCTATTCAAACTAAATATGCCCGTTTGGATTTTCCTTATCTCAATGGTGAAAATCTCAATAGTTGGGTGTTCCATTGCGAGAGAGTTTAGAAGAGGAGGACCAAGTCTACGTAGCATCGCTTCACCTTGAAGGACCAGCAGTTGAGTGGTTTCAAAGCTATGAGACTGCAAAGCCTCATGTCACATGGAAGGTCTTCACAAAGGATTTGTGCCTGCGTTTCGGTCAAGGGCAAGGGCCTTATGATAATGCAATTGGCCATCTAACAAAACTAAGACAAATTAGCACCATAAGCATGGTTCAAGGTCGCGGTATCAACCCTTGATTCGGGAACAACTGAGACACATCGGTCACCCAAGGGCAGAGCCAGAAACTATTCAGAGTGGGGGCAACTTACAACTATTTCAATATTATTTTTCTTTTAGGAAATTCTCCATAATTAATTCAAATTCAATATGTTTGGTTTGACTCAAACTCCATAATTTTTTTCTTTTTGAACACAAACTCAATAATTTATCATAGAGTTTTTAACAACTTATTAGGATTAGAAGTATTCATTTAATAGACAACCTTAACTGAAATAATTTAGAAAAAAATCTATTTGTCACAACTTCATTAAAACTTAGATATAAGAATACTTTGATTAATCACAGATAAATAATTAAAGCCCAATTGTTCAAATAATTTAATTAAAAATATAATTCATGATAGATAGATTCTAATATATAGTACAATTAAACTAAAAAATCATTTGAAATAATTTGAATTTTAATGTATAATTCTTGCATTCTAATTTCAATTTCTAATATTATAATTTCTAAGTTCAAACTCCAATTTTATACAATTTCAAATATCAAGATCCAATTTCAATTCACATTAACAAAAATAATAGAGGGGAGGAGACAAAAAGAAGCAAGAAAAATAGAGCATTGACTAAGAAAATTAAGTTGAGGAGAATGATCGACAAAGAATCACTAAAACTCATTGCAACAATAATCGACTAAGCATAGTGTTGTTGGTTACTATTGATTCTATCAACTAGTAGGTGAATGAGTCAACCCTTACTAAAGGTCACAATAGATTACTTATAAGGTGGTTGCTCATTTATTATTGATGTGTTATTCAAATAATGTAATAGCTAATTATTTATATTGTAATAGAGATTTATTGATATTTATAAAAAAATCTCATTTTAATATTTTTAATTTAAGTCATATGAGGAAAGTGTAAGTCTAATTTTTCTTTTTTATGAAAGAATACCACTTATCTAAAATATAAATTAGCAATAACAATAAATGTATTTAATTTAGAAACTTAATTTAAAAATCTAATCAATTGTTGTCATTAGATTAACACGTACCAAAATGGCCGGATAGATGAGATTACAACGACCCGTAAATATGATTTGATTGAGTTCTGGATAATCAGGAATCATATCTTTGTTTTTACTAGAAAAATCTGACCTAAAAAATTTGTGTCTTACTTGATTATTAGATACTGAGGGGTTAAAAATATATCAGGATCTCGTTAAATATTGGGATCCACTAATAATCGAATGATAAAAATGATTTAATTTCCCCAATTAGATTCTAATAATGTTACTCTGATAAAATAATTTTTTTATAAAATTTTTAGTGGGTGCAAAGGGCAAATTTTGAAATTTTTGAAATTTTAAATAACATCCAAAATTTTTCAAAATCCTAGTGG